GGTTTGACACTAGCATGCACTACCAGCGGGAGGACAAAAAAAATGACTTCTGAGAACCTTTGTAGAAAGGTATTTTTGGAGCTATTTTTGGAGCCCAAGATTCCTACAGCTTTTGAAGAATTCAAACGAGGGCTGCAAATAATATTTTTCACTCCTTGCATGGCAGCAACGCAAAGAACCCAACAGCAAGCCCAAAAAGCCGAGGTGGAAGGTTGTCCTCCCGCACTCCCCATCGCGGCTCTGCGATGGTTAAAAGGTCCCCACAGCTGTGCTGGCATCATCGATTTGGGTGAACAAGGAAGCGACAGAAAAATAAAGCCACCTTAATTTCAAGCTCCATTAGAACTGAAGGACTTGGGGGCGGGGGGAGAAATCAATGTTTGGCAAATGGGAAAGGACAAAATCTGCAAAAGGAAAAACGCATTTTCAGGCTAAGCTAATGCAAACAATGGATGGTGAACAGCACTTGAGGCTGCCCCTTTAAGGTTGTGTCAGCATTTCCATTTATAAACTCTGATTTTAGTTACCCTCTAGTAGATTACCCACAGGCTTTGGTATTATTCTAGCAGATACCACAAAGTATATCACAAATGGTAATACAGAAGAGAAGTAAGAGCTAGACTGTTGAATAACACACCCTTTCAGTACCTGGTATAATTTAAAAACTCTAACAAATCATATGCTTACATATACAGAAACAGAACACATAGTACTGGAGCAAGCAGCCTGGCACTCAGATTCTACCAACACTAAAGCAGAAGTCAAAGCTATCTTTGATGCAGAACCTGTTCATGGTATTTTGAAAAGCTTGAAAATATCCCAGATACTTAATTTCAGTCTGTCTCCATTGCCACTTGGATGGATTTCAGTCTAACCCTCTGCCCTCATTTAGATAAAAGCTCTTATTTCTGTATCTGGACCTCCAGAGAGTTACTCAGTCAATACTCTGAACATCCACACCCAGAAATCAAAACCAAACCCTACTATGCAACCTTTCATTTCATTTCTGCCTAGATCAGAAGGTCAAGGTGAAACAGTTGTACAAATGAGATAATTCAACAGAATTTCCCTTCAGTGTGATGGAGCCAGGCCTTCACCTCAAACCTCCTAAGCAGATGAGCAATGCACGCAAGGAGAGCTCGTGTCTGCCTCTAGCATTCATTTCACAAATCTGCACAGAGCTGCAACGAGCTTGAAAAGTGAGAGCAAAGCCATTTCTTACATTTACCACCATGATTTTGGGCTTAGACATTTCAAAACAAGCAGGGAGAGGGGTAAAATCTAGGATCAAGCCAACGTGACATGTTCAAAACCACAGCCCAGAATAAAGCATAAACACACACTGTAACCAGGCAAACTATCTCAGCAGGTATGAATCGGACCTGGATCCTGCAACTAACCCTTCCCAGGTACCCAAATCAGTTTATGTGCACATAGCCTGTCTTTGGGATACAGACTTCCATGATCAGTTCTTACCTGGGATTCTTAAAAGACACAAAGAAACAAACAAAAAGACCCAAGCACATAAATAGTGCCAAATATGACATCGAGAATCACTTGAGTAGCACATTCAATTTTGAAAAGGTTTTGCCAAAATGCCCCAGAAAAATCTTGATCTGTAAAAATTCTTGACACAAGAATTATTATAAACTGAATTTACTGCAAGAAGTGTTTGTTGTGCTGCATGCAATTTAAGAACACAAGCTTTGAAATGAGAGAGGAAAAATACAAATTCCTATAATTCAATGGCAAGCCCAGAATCTTTTACATAATCTTCCCGGCCTACTGCTCTAGTGGGAGACATTTCCTGGACTCACAACCCTTTTATGTGCAAGCAATCTACATTTTACAACTGATAAATAATTCAGATAATTAATTGAGCTGCAATTTGGTGCACTTTTTAGTCAGCACTATAGTGTACCATTTAAAGAGGTTCTGCACAGAAAGTCCCTCCTGCTTGTTAACCCAAGTCGAGACTTCTATTAAGGTGAATTCCTAAAACTATTAAGGTGAATTCCTAAATTCTCTTAACACTTTCTGAATGTTTTGCATCAGCATCCTGGGACTTCATGCCTTAGGATGCTCTCCTCCACATATAAAAGAATAATTAAAGACTCTACAAAAGTTTCAGACAGGATTTAAGGCTAAATAAATTTGCTGCAATCTACACAGAGTTGCAAGTACGTGTGTTGAGCACGAGGAAAAGACAGGACTGAGAAAGGAGAGCTGAGCCTGCAACACTGATGATGAAGTGTGACCCAAGTTCATTAAGGATTTATGAAGAAGTTTTTGCTGGTTAAAAAGAGTAATGGTTACACTGGAAAGCACAGGCTGAGGACTCGATGCAGAACAGAACAGCCCTTCCCAATCCACAGAATTAAAACCTTCCAGTATGTCTGTGTAAATACTGAGTAACAGCAGAGTAAAGTCTCCTAAAGAAATAAACCAGATTCCTCCCTTTTATCACTGTTCACTCTGCCTTCCAAACAATGGGAGCAACTTATGGAGGAGGGATTCTACACAGTGCAAAGAGATAGTTACATCTGGCCCAAAATAAACACAAAACCTCTGGAGGAGCCTTATAAAACTAATCATCTAGGAAGAAGGAAAACAAATCCCATCATCAGAAGGTATAAGAAGAAGTAACATAGAAAGAAACTTTTGTAGCACATCTTTATCTAAAGCACCAAATAACTTTAAGACTTTCTTTATTCATAGAGCTAATTAGAGGACAGTCAGCAGTGTCTTACATAATTAGCAACAAACTACCCCGAAAGTGTTGATGACTGCATACCAGAACCTGCAGATGAGTGCAGGGACTTGTCCATATTCTAAGCAAGTAACTCTCAGATAACAGAGCACTGTTGACACCAGCCAGACAGCTTGAGATGTGACTGCAAATATCCTCAGACAGAGCAGAGGATGATGTTCTGCAAGACAACATAAAAATCACTGCACCTGTGAACTGCAAAAACGAGCAGGGACAAAACATTCAGAACTCACACTTTACTCATGTGCCTGCAAGATGGTCTAAAAGGGAGCCCCTGGCCATGCTTCCCACTGCAAATCACTCTTAGCTAATTGACTATGAAAGTTCTCTGCACATGGCCTGCAAAAAAAATTTAAGATTCCAAGCACGTGAATATTAGGCCTAAGAGATGAGTCGTTAAAGTGATCACTGATTAAACCACCAGTGTTAATCATGATGCAAAAGAGCAAACAGGGAACTTTGATTTAAATGATTGATTTTAATCCTGTTTCTCATTTGTACTTTTAAGCTGTTTTCCTAAAGAAAGGGTTGAATCTCATTGGCTGATTTGGCCACTTAAACACATTGATTTACAATTAACCAGCGGTTTTATATTAAACTTGGAAGCTTTTCCTGAACAGGAGGATACATTCAAATATTGACAAGGGTGACTAAAAAAAATATACTGGAGAAAACATTCTGGGATCACCGTAAGAATATACCAGAATCACGGTAACAAATTAGGCCTCGAGATCTGGTATAATTAAGAAAGAAGAAAACCTTCACATTTTAGTTAGGTAACCAGTCATAATATAAAATGTGATTATCAGGCAGTCCTATCTATTTTCTTACATGCCACAAATCTCAGATTGAAAGAGCGAGCGCTCCACTGCTTCTGGGCTTGAGAATCCACAAAAAGATTCTTCTTAAAGCAGAAAGGAAAAACACCAGAAATCAAAGAAGAATTAGCAACAGTAGTAAACTCTAAAGAAAAAGAAAAAAGAAGCAAGAGTTCTTGAAAAAAAATCTAGACAGAATGAGGTCAAGGAAGACTTGTACAAAGTTTAACACTACCAATTAGAAATACAACAACATCACAAACTGGAACAAAGGAATAAAATGAGAAAAGATAGAAAGTGAACAATGCCAGTGGTTTAGAGCTCTCACTCTATGATCAGGCAACAGATAAAGTCTCCAGAGCACACTCATTTTTGGTGAAAGCAGGCCTTAGAGAACTGGGATTAAATAAGTCTGCCTGAAGACAGGAGACCACAGGGCTCCTAACACCAGAACGAGACTAAACTAAGGGCCCATTCACCCAAAATGGACGGCACCAAATGCTAAAATAAAACATACATTAGATAAAATGGGGTAATTTCACATGCATCCCTGTCCCTCCTGAACTTAAGTAGTTCAGAGCACACTACTCCTGCAACAAAAAAAAAAAAAAAAAAAAAAAAAAGAAGAGCTTACAACTCTTTTAACCCTCATAATTTAGTCGTCTGCCAGTAAGGAGAGAAGATAAACTTTAAAATGATTATCCAGTAATTCAGACTGCTACCTTCAATGCAACCCACAACGTGGATTCCATTACCAGCCCTTAACTGAGTAATGAATCCTGCAGATTTCATCAGGAAGATACTCTACAGGGGCAGGTGACAGCCAGAAAGCAAAAATAGATGGTTCACATGAATTTTTAAGACACCCAGGGAGACAATCTACAGGAAAATTTACAAGATTAAATCACCTGGTAAAGCATATGAAACATGGCAAATTCAGTCTACCACCAAGACAAGGTTATGACATCTGAGATACAGTGAAAGAAAATTTAAATGACCCCTATTCCAACGCCTCAAAATTGCCAAGTGGTTCCACATGTGATTTTCCAATTAAACATTAAAATAGGTCTCAAAACTTCGAGGGAGAAGCATCCCTGGGCAATTTAGGCTTGCAAAGCCAACCAAGACAGGTCCACAAAGAAAGTAAGTATGTACCTAGTTCCTCTTGACTTCAGCAAGAATTTGGATCTTAAAATACATGTCTGCTACCTTGATACTTTATGCTGCTTCTGACAGTTAACTCAAACATCTTCCATCATTGAAAGCAACATCCCTCCTCTGCATTTCCTCTAGCCAGTGAATTAAACACAGAGCAAGAGCATCTCCACAGAGGCCTAAGAACAGGTTTGAACCACAACACAAGAACAGCAGTGACCAGCACAGTGTAATTCACATGTCACAAATGTCCCTACCTGGATGTCAGTGTCCTTCACAGGTTCCAGAGGCTCAAACGTAGTGACTGCACTCAGGCTCTCGAGTCGTTGAGAAATGTGAGATATATCAAGCCCTCTAGACCCCAGAAGAACAGACCTATAAGGAAGAAATTGTACAGATATGAAATTAGTATTGAACAGACAGAACTCCAAACCCAGACTCATTGCCAATATTTAGGTCAGCAGCGAGCCACGTACAGACAGTGCTCCCAGACATGTTATAAAAACTGCACAAAACCAAACTTAGAACAGCCCTATGTGTCTATCCAACCACCTCAGCCTGCTGAACTCTTTCTGCTGTTCCACTGCAGTGCTGCACAGCTGCCAAGTCCTTCCAGACAGAAAAAATGTACACTGTGTTGGTAAAAACACCTTCAGCAGCAGCCAGAGCAAGGTATGCACTTTTTGGCTTTAGCGCCCAAAATCGAGAACAGCAGCTACTCAAATAAATCCTTCAATTACTCTGTTGTTTTTTGGAAGTATGAGAAAGGTGGGAGGGAAAAAAAAAAAAACAAAACAAAAAACCCCTGTGGTGGGGAAAAAACATGTTTTTCCCCCGAAGGGCTGAGAGGGGTGAGAGGAGACTCCCTTGTGTGTAATGGAAAGAGATCCAGCTACAACTCAGCTACGACTGCTGCATTGGAGAGGAGAGACACTGCTCCCCGAAAGTGGAAAGGATCTTTCCTTCTTCCCTTCTGGACTTCTATTGGAGGGAAAAGAGATTTGATCCAATGTAAATATTGCTTTACCATAGGAGAGATAGTTAGGATTGTGTATATAATGTATTATAATATTTATTTGTGTAATAATTGTAATATAATTCCCTTCCCCTCATATTGAGTCTTGTGTTGTGTCTGGAAAACCCCCTCACACTGGGGTGAGTTGTGGGAGGGGGGCTTGGACTCAAGAATTGGATTTTTGGGGGTTTCAAACCACGACACCCCACACTAACCAAACACCAGCTTTGCAGTCATCGTATTTATCCCAGGCACGTCCTCCCCACCTGTTAGAAACTAAACCCTGTGAGCAGCTTCCCCTGCCCATGCAGGGTGTGCAGTGCCAGTGCCCCACACGGGATGGCAGTGCCAGTGCCCCACACGGGGATGGCAGTGCCAGTGCCCCACACGGGGATGGCAGTGCCAGTGCCCCACACGGGGATGGCAGTGCCAGTGCCCCACACGGGAT